GCCACGAGGGACTTCCTCCCCACTCCCCCCTCCTCCTCGCTGTCCATCCCACTTCCCGCCACTCTCACGCCTCCAAGTCCCCCTGCAAGTCCAGCGTGTCTGAGGGTCACTGCACCTTACAACTATGGGGCAACGGGGAAACCCTCCCGCGCCCTGCACTGGGTCGTCTTCCAGCCCGACAGTGGCATGAGAGGGTGTCCCCAGGACTAGAAAGTTCCACTTGTCCCAGCAGGTGATGCTGAGCCCCCCCTGGTCTCCGGTTGCATTTGAGTGTCGCCCAGTGGGCAAGTCAGCTCAGCCAAGAGAGAACTCAGACGTGGAGAAAAGGAAGTCATTTGTCCCATGGGAAGAGGTGCAAAGTGGGGTGAAAAGCCACCACCAGCCCCAGTGCAGAGCTACTCCTAGAAGTCCCCTGTATGAGGAGGTCCAGGAGGGGTGTGCTGCAGAGGACACCCCTTCTTTGCAGCAATCTGAGAGCTCCGAGCTTGAGTTAACAAGGGCAGTTGAGGGCAACTAGAATAATGGCAAGAAGCTGTGCTGCAATCTCGAAGGCACGCTGTTCAAATCCACCAGCTGTCCCAAGGGAGGATGGGCAATCTCCTCCCTTGAGATTAACTGCCTCTGAAAACCTACCTGAGGGTCCACAAAAACTAACAGGTTTTCGAAGGTGGGGGGGAGAAAAGTGCAACAATGAATGAATGGAATTCCAAAATCTCTGTAGATGTTCATTGAAATAAAAAAAAAAAAATAGGAACAAAATAATTTAAAAAAAAAACAACTAACAGGTTTTCCATTCATTCTTTTGACCTACTGTGTGCGCTGAACACAAGCATGATTTAGGGAAGTGGAAAAACCGAGCCCAATAGGGAGGTGAAAGGGAATTTCCAGCACCCTGGGGCTCAGGGTTCAGTTTCTGTCATCCCCACCCCAGCCTGCGGTTGTCACTTGCTTCTCTTCCACAGTGCACCCAAATCCACCTTCAAATCCACATGGCGCTCAAACTGAGGTATCCAGGGACACCTGAGCTGAGAAATCAGCAAACTCGCTTCTTGTAGTCAAGTCAGAAGTGACTCATAGCTGACCCTCCAGTGGCTTTCTGAGGTTGTCCTTCTCCTGGGCGGAGATTGCCCATCTTTCCTTTCTCCCCTGGAGCAGGAGAGGGATTTGAACCATCTGTCTTCTGTAGTGCAGCTCCCTATGGACTAGGCCACCGTTGTTGTTGTTGTTGTTGTTGTTATCATGTGCTGTTGAGTCAGAATGAACTCAGCTGACCCTGCAGCTTGTTCTCAGAGGCTACAAATGGCACAGCAGAAGAATGTCCATCTTTCTCTCTTGGAGTAGCTGTTGGATTTGAACCACCTGCCTCTGAGTTGGCAGTGCAACTCCTTACCCTCAAGATCACCAAACACCCCAACCCCCCTTAAGGTTAACAGAATCCACCAGAAAAACAAGACATGAGAGCTGGACAATGAGGATGGCAGAGAAAGAACTGATGCCTTTGAGCTGTGGTGTTGCGTGCTGAATATCTCAAGAATGGCCAAAAGAATAAACAGGTATGTCTTGGATAAAGTGCAGCCAGAGTGTTCCCTGGAGGCAAAGAGATGAAGCTTCACCTCACAGACTTTTGAGCGTGTTGCTAGGAGAGGTTACTCCTTGGGAAGGCGGAGGGGTGGCGAAAAGAGAGAAAGATCCTTGACCGGGGGTTTGACACCATGACAGAGGCAATGAGCATGAGTGTGTCAGAGCTTGTGAGGATGGCACAGAAACAGGACAGCGTTCAGTTTGGTTCTTCGTAGATTCGCTATGAGTCATACTCACTTTGACTAACAACAACCTGAAACGCAAACTGGCGAAGGTCCAACTTTGGCCAATTCATGCCACGCTGAGGCAGAAGCGTCGGGATTCTGCCCTCAGGAGAACCCTGCCCTCTGTGGTTTGCATTCATTCTCGCGTGCTTCCCCCATCCTGGGTTACTCGGCTCTGCCAGTTAGCAAATTTGGCCAGTTGTTTCTTAAGAAGCAAAGCGTCATTTGTGTGAGTTGCTCAGAGAAGGGGTGAAAGGGGGTGAAAAGTTGGAACACAAGTTGAAAGGAGCTTGGCTAGGCAGCATAAAAGTGTAGCAAGCACAAAATTAGTCAGAAGAGATATATACCGACCAAATACTAAACTTTCTTCTTCCACTTATATGTGGGTGATTTTAATCTGTGGCCCTAAGGCCTGATTTTAATTGTTTTTGTTTAAACATTCTTCTAAGCAGTATAGCACTGGTCTGTCCATTTGCTGTACAGAGGTACAGCAAACTGGTGTTTGCTGTGATGTTAAACACTGTGACACTGATGTGTCAAATGTGATAAGGGTTTCCCATGGTGGACAGTGTTTGGTGGAGCTTCCCGATTAAAACAAGCTTGGAAGCAGGAGTGGTTCCACCTCTGAAATAGCTTGCCTATGGAAACCCTATGAACGTGGAGAAACAATGGAAGTTATACAAGGGTTAAGGTCTTTCGTTCATAGGGTCACTACGAATCATTTACGACACAACAGCACTTAACAACACCATATATATATCCTATAAATGAGAATCCAGAATGACTTCAGAAGGGGAGTTAAGTTCCAAAAAAAAGTACCACTTTATGATTCTGTGAATGCCATCTCTTTTTCACAATTAAATCATTCCCATGATTAAACCATTAAATAAATACAAGTGTGTCACTGCCTCTGTTTTTCCTAGTTTCCCAAACGCTCAGATTTTTAACCTTGTCTCTTGGGTTTCCAGTAAGAAAACAAATGTACTGCCTGCCCGCTGCCTCCCCAGACAACAGGATGTCGTCGGTTTGGAACAAGACCCACCTGACTTCTTGTCTCTGGTAACCCACAGGCGGGGCGCCCTGTTGGTCCAAACCCACCGACTGCTCTGAGGGAGAAAGAAGGGTAATCTCCTCCTGTTTGACTGACAGCCTGGGAAAGGCTGGGGGAGGCTCAGCTCAGAGTAAGTTCAAGCTCAATGGCAATGGGGGAAGGGGGGGATGGAAAGAGAGGGAGAGGGGAGCAGAAGGGAGAGAGGGCTACTCTGATCAGCTGGGTGCTCTTAGAGGCAAAGTTCACACCCCTGTGCTTTAATGAAGGACTTCTGGTGACCTAGTGGGTGGGGAGCTGTGTTGTTAACCAAAAGGCAGAAGGTAGATGGTTTGAATCCACCAGCTGCTCCAATGGAGAAAGATGGGCAATCTCCTCCCGTGTGATTCATAGCCTCTGAAAACTGGGGGGGTCAGTTATGAGTTGGTTCTGACTCAAAGCAGTTGAGTTTGAGTTTACTGGTTTTGGGGTTTGATTTTTTGGTTGTTTTAGGGGTTTTTCTTAGTGTTTGTTTACGAGGGAGGTGGCAGTGGGGCCTGGCCTGCCGAGAGCGTGCAGGAGATCACACACACGAACCCTCTAGCTCTGAATCTCACATCCAGCAGATTGCACTCGACACTCTGCCCCGCCTTTCTTGGGCTTCCTATCTGGCCCCTCGCTAGCTGGAGAAGATACTAGAACTATGCATTGGGTCATTGCTCTCGAAACAGGAAGACCCCATTACCAAAAATAACTTCTCCCGAGGGCGTTTCTAGAAACCAGAACTGGCAAAAAAAAAAAAAAGATGAGCATTTGTACACACAAGCAATTACTCTTCTGGTCGAAAGGAAAAGGGAGTCCAAAACCCGGTCCCCTCATGGAGGCCCTTCCAGCCTTGAAGTCAGCTGACCCAATCTCCCCAGGGTATTTTTCTTGCTATTTATAATGCGTGAACTCTGGGTTTCAGGGCTCTCTGCCGCCTCACTTTCTCCACCACCCACCCCACACCCCTTCCTTTGCTTCCCTTAAGACTGAACAGCTTTGCTTGTTCGCTTGCAGACAAGAGGCAATAATGACAATGATGAAACAGTCATAATGGACCGCTGCTGGGCCGCTGGCCTGTAATTCTCACCAGGAACAGAGCAGCCCCCCGATTTGTGCTTCGCCAGTAATGTTCCCTTGCAAATCATTATCCCCGCGGTCAAGATGGTTTCAAGGCCCGCAGGATTCACATACCTTATGAGGTGCTTCGAGGCGACCAGAGTTGGTTTTCTCCTCTTTTGCCATGACTTCGCTTTCCTGGGAGTTGTGGCTGAGGTAGCCGCGTTCACAGCATTGACTGGAATTCAGAGTCCCTCTGGAATGAAACGATAAAGAAACAGGGAGCTAGGAGATTGCTCTCACTTGAAGTTAGATCCTTGGCTTTATGGACAATCCCTAGACTGTAAAAGTTGAGGCGAAATGGCTCTTCTGGGAAATTAAGCAGTTACAAACTGGGGAAAAAATCCACCTGAGGGTTCCAGAGAGAAGACTGTGGAGGCGAGCCGATGTTTACATGCCCAGCTTCCCGCATTTCTAGCACATGAACAGCATCAACCGCTCCCTAGGCTGATGGCCTAGTGGGTAAGGGGTTGCACAGCCAACCCAGAGGCAGGTGGTTCAAATGCACCAGCCTGCTCCGAGGGAGAAGGACAGGCAATCTCCTCCCGTGCAATCTACAGCCTCTGAAAA